GGATATAAAAAAAAAAGAAGAGGGGGGGGGGGGCGGCAGAAAAGGAGTGGTTTCCAATACATCATCTGCAGTACTAAACCTTCAAATTCAGTTCACAGCAGATGGTTTTTTCCACCTACTTAACTGGCTCCAGTTAAGATGGCTTGATATTTATTCCCATACAGAAGCAACAGATTAAACACATGACCAAATATCTGCTCTCATTCTTGGAAAGTAGTCCGTATAAACTAGAGAAGAGAAATGTTACCAGGGGACAGTACATGGGGAGTTTGCACTGCATAGCAGGCCCACCTTTATCTGCTTTGAGTGAGGTTGTTCCTTTAAAAAAATAATATATTTTTTAATTCTACATGCTCATCCATTGACACACAACTTTATAAATACATACAGAAAACATCAAGTTTCAAGTGCTGTTTGATCTGGGGACAGTAAAAAAGCTTGAGCTTTTTAACACAATGAGAACCACAACTATATAAGAATTAAAACACACAGACAGGAGATAAAAGGTTCTAAAAAATTCCTAGCAATGTTCTTGCACATATAACCTGCTAACAAATTACTAGAAATATTAATTGCAACCTGTGGAGATCCCACAAGCATGACATGCATGAGTATAGGCTCTTATGGTATGATTACTAAATCCAGAACACCTCCCAGATACTCAGATGGTGACTGAACAATCAAATATGAATTTCTTGTCCCTACTAATATTCCTGAAGTATATTGGAAGGACAAAAAAAAAAAAAAATCACAGCACACTATTCACTGCTGCAGACCAAGCTCTCTGCAGAAACTGCACTTTTGTCACTGATCTTCAGAGACATGACACCTCCCGTTCATTCATTTTTATTAGGTGGCAGTGGTTACCTGTGAGATAGACCTTCTTCCTCCCAAAGCGATCTGAGAGTTGGCCAAATGAGATTGCTCCAACAAACACACCACTGAAGTAAAAAGAACTGGCAGCACTGACTTTGTATGATGTGTTACCAATCAAAAACCACTGGATGGAGATAAAAAAAGGAGAATTAACCAGAATCCAAGCAGTTCACCAACAGCTAGTAGATAGAGGGGGATGACACACACTTTAAGGAAGATCAAACTTTGCCTAAGTCTCCTAAGTATGACATTCAGTCAGTCATCAGATAAGTCACCAAAACACAACTCCTCCCAGACTCACCAGGTCATACTAATCAATTGCACAGTTCCCCCAAATCATGAGCAGTCTTTGGTTCTGAAATCAAGGACAGATCTCTCAGAATACTAACTTTTGCAGCCTTCTCCCACCCTCCCTTTTATTGCCTTTTCTCACATAAATCTATTAGCTTAAATAGACTCAGTTCTACCTCGACATGTGTCACTGCAGTGTGTAGGCATGCTATGCAAAAATAAAAACTGTGGTTTATGTCCAAAGGGAAACCTGCATATGCTCCTCCTCATGAACTGTCCTGTCACTGAGAAACACTTTGGTAGCATTAGACAGGTTTTCTGGTATTGCAAATACTCATCCTTTTTACAGTCTACTTTGTGTCATTTCCAATTCTCCTCAATTCCAAATACAAACCCAATCTTCATATGTTTGATTCTTACAGAGTTATGTCTCACATTGAACCTGAAGGGAAATTCTTTCCCTCACAAAACTGCAGAATGAAAATATGCCATGCTCTCACTGTTCAAGAGTTATTTCCTTTTGCATTCTAAAAACCTCCACACCTTCTTTTCTTTTTCTACTCATCTTGCATCTTGAGATAATGTTTCCTTTTAATGACAGCCCAACTTTCCTTCCTGTGCTGGTAAGCTGGTGATTATGTCATTATCTCTGCAATAACACTCTAATCTTCTCCTCATAATCTTCTCTTTCTCTACCAAAACCCCATTAGATATCCTTTCTAGCAAAGCTTATATTATTTCAAAGATCAGATATAAACTACCTCACCATGAGAACAGAGCCATGCAATTAAACCTCACCAGGATTACAGAGCTGGTAAAACAGAACAAAACAAAATCATTCAGAAGCTCCAAGAAAATAACTTGCTTACTTCTCAGTATACACTTCATTTTGAATTGTCACTTTAATGGTGAAGTGTTTACTGATATAGTAGGTAATGTGCCCATAAAGTGTCAAGACTGACAAAATTCAATTCTAAAACTAACCATGTGACCACAAATCTGCTTTTGAAGCTTCTCTAGAATTTAAAAACAATTCCCAGAAAAATACATTTGTATAATAGCATATGACATTACTTTTATCTTGAAACAACGTGGTCAGTTTGTTTTGAGAGCTACAAGAATCTTGCCCTAACTTTTGGTATAAACGTTTTAAAAGCTGCCAACACTGAAACCCAGTGACATTAGATGCTTTCTGAATTATTCAGGGATTAAGGGATAATTTGGATGTGAAGCAAATTTGTCCTGCAAATTAATCTCAACAGCTAAGAGGCCTTTCAAAGGGCTCAAGGCCTTTCTCTTCTACATAAAGCATGTTACACATATATATTCTTGATATTCATGAATCAAGCTTTTTACATAAGCAATGGTCATGTTATTAGTAAGTGATGCCACAAGATAATAATTTCAAAAATCCTCTTCAAATGTAGAAAAAGCTTTTTTACACATCAGTAATGAGATTAGATAGTGATGAGATATTTCCCCAAATAAGTGCACTGTCACTAAAGTCTTTATATTTAGTACATAACTTCCAAATATCACACATTCAGCTAACAAATTTTGAAAAAAAAATTTTAACAGTGGGAAATAATAAAGGCAACAAGATTTTATGCACATGGACCTTTACTGAGAAGTATGTTAAAGAACTTCAAAGCAGAATCTACACAAGTTGCCTTGGGAATTTTTTTTTTATTTTTTCAACTGAATTCTGCTTTTTACCTGCATTTCTTATGTAGGCAACTAAAATGCCTAACAATCTTTATAAAATTTATGTCCTAAAACACTGCTAGGCTCCACAAACATGTCTGGCTTGACAAGTATGAAAGAACAAGAGATTCTTGGATAAATTAAAATGCAAACAAGAAAAAGCCCAGAGAAAGTTTTAAAACCTTACTGAGCTTTGAATAATGCTTAAATAATCTACTGTCCATTAGGATTTCAATTTAAATAGTGGCATAAGTACTCATATCCTCTCTACTACCAGAATAAGAAGCAATGCCTGTTGCACACAACTGCTTGGTACTATTCCAAAGCTGGCAGTTTTTATTAATATGCTCATAACCAATAAAGTTAAGTGCTTTACAGGACTAATTCAGATAGTATTAATGCCTCTGGACAATAGCCATGAATTATCAAGTGGTACTACACTTGAATCAACTGTACAGCTCTAAATTCAGATCTTGTAACAGATGCACTTGGGTAGGGCTCTTGCACAGAAGAATTTGACATTAACAGATACTGAAGGCCCCAGGAAGGGCAGGTGTTGCACACATCTGTGCAGAGCCTGAAATAATTTCTGTAGGGACTGTGGCTAGACCACAAAAGAAGACACTTACAAAACACAGAGGCCACACCAATAAAGCTAAAGCTTGTTTTGGGATAGAATGGGGGGAGTTGCTTTGCCCACCTGACTCCTCACTGCTCATGCCCTCCCTCATACCTGGAGTTGCAAAGATTGTAGAAGCCACTTCCTCTCCTGCAGTTCCTCCACTGCTTGCTAACTGCATGATGGTGGCACTACATGCATTTGAACTTAGCCAGAGAATCACAAGAGGTGTCTAGAAAGAGCTCAGGGTCCATAAAGGATTTTTAGCACATTAGTACAGTGAATGACAAGATTCCAGCTCCATTGTGGAACCAAGCTACAGGATCCAATACATAACTTGCATATGGAAAAGGTGGGAAGTTTTAGAGCAGAACTTTAGTCAAGATCTGCATAGCAAATAAAGCTAGTTCTTGTTGCCAGTAAAGATATGAATAAATCACCTGTTCTCTACCTGGAGGTAGCACCTATTTCATTTGCTATGCAAAAATGCATTAGTATGGAAAAAAGGAGCAGTACAATCAGCCCCCCACAACTGACCAAGTAAGATTTACTACTCACACATGAGGCAGTGAAACACATTTCAGACTTACCTCAGAGACTATTGATGTGAAGCTGCTGCTGAAGTGTACATGCTTATGCACCTCGCTGCCATTGGCAGTCAGAAGCCATTCCCCGAGAGCTCTCTGCTCAGTCACTGACTGGTTGCTATGGCTCTGATTAGCTGATAGCTCTTGGAGATCCCAGTGGTAGGGAGGAATTGCACCCACCAATGCAATGAGGATGGCTTCAGTGGCCACATAGAGCTGGCATGAAAGACAAAAACCAGAGATGCTAAACATACATCCAAGCAATGTATTAAATCAGTATTAAAAAATATTCCTATTTTATATTCACCTTCCACCACTACGAGATGCCCCCATCTACCAAATATCACACACTGAAGAACCATAACCTCACAACAGTGGTTCCTGCATTTTCTATCTGTTGATTATTACTCTTAAAAAATGACAGGCACACATGTGAATGCATATATGCATTTTTTAATATATCTACACATTTATACAGACACACAAGGTCTAAATACAGTGATTAACATCTGGCTTTGTTTAAGAAAGAATAAATAAAACTGCTGGAAAACCAGACATTTCAAGCCTGGTCTAGAGCTAGGTCACTGCTGCTTGCTCAGAACAACATTAACAGGCTACTGCTTTAACAGTCTACACTACAACTCCATCTTAAAACCCAGTGTTTTTAGACCTGTTTGAACATAGAAGTGCCATGAGTTCTGCAACAGAAGACAAATGATAAAGCCTGACAGACAAAAGGAGTTGTTGGTAACAACACAAAAAGCCCCCCAGTCTCCAAATAAAACTGCCTCTTGTCTTAAGCCCTCACTGAGGAACAATAACTCAGCACAGTATCTTCTGACAAAAAAAAAAAAGATCCTGTTGCTTCACCTGCTTACTACTTCCTCCATAAAAAACCCTCAGCCATGCCACTCCATTCCTCAAACCTCGCTTCAGCCACCTCCTGAACACAGTCCTCCCAGCACCACCTCTGTATGTTCTTGGGAAGAATGTACTCACAGGAAGTGTGTTCTCTCAGAATGTTGCTACACAAATACTTCTCAAAACCGGGAAGACCATAGATAGGCACAAAAAAAGGAGTCTGAGGATCTCTGAATTCTGATGCAAACAACACCAGACAATCTGATTCTGTGCTGTACAACAGCCGAGCAGAGTTAGACCCAGATCTAAATAAGAATTACTGCTGAATTAGCATAAATACCAGAGTTATTACCTGAAAGCATTTTCTTGCCATCAGCTCCTTTTTGCATTCTACATGATAAACTGCTACTGTAGTGGCAGGAGGTAAATAACTTAAAAAATCATTCTCTTTCCTTTTTTTAATATAAAATTACAAAATATCAAATTTGGAAATTTGATATTTCAAATATCAAATGATATTTTGATATTTCAAAATGAAATGATATTTCAAATATTCCAAATTTGTAATATGTGGAAGAAAAGACACAGTCTGTTAACTATGTTATTATTTAAGCTAAAGAACAACTTCCAGATAGACAAGGATGAGAAGTTAAAAGATCTCATGTGGGCAAGAAGGCAATGACTAAGATTACATGGAGAAAGAGGTGTTAAAAAGCGGAGTGGCCATGTTGCCAGGGATGTATGGATACAGTATTCTGAAGAACAGTTTGAAATTACTGAGAAATAAGAATTACAGGTCATGGTCTGTGGTATGTCCCTGTACTCTGACTTGCTCAGACAATTCTGTGTCAGGACTAAGTGATAATATCCTTGCTTTTGTCTTGTGAAATAAACGTATTTTTGAAGTAGTTCAGGAAATGATATCCTCAAGGCATTTGTCTTAGAGTAAGAAAGCATAACGCTTTTCATTTTTGCTCTAGGTGAAACCCACCCCAGCTACAAAAAACTAAATTGAAAAATAAGTGATCGCAGGCACACAAAGAAACTTTACAGATATTTTTTCAATAAAAAAAAATTCAGCCTTAAGCACCCTAGTGGCTGCAGCAAGCAGGGATACAACAAAGATAGAAACACTTTCAATTGATCTGTTGAATCAGAAAAATGTATGAAGATGGAGACATGTTTTGATGTTATCAAATAGTATTGTTCTATATTCAAGTTCCCTGGAGACACTGCTGATACAAGACTGTTTTTCTTAGTGATCATTTGCATTGTACTTTGGGTAACAGGTATGGTAAACCCTCTTCATTTCATTGCAAAACCCAAAACCAAACCAAGGCCCACAAAACACCCCCCAAAATTCATTTATAATTCTGAAGACCAGAAGCACTTTCTGAAATTGGTCCTTAAAAACATGATGAAGCAAACTCTAAACTTAAAGAAATTCAAAATACAGTTTTTATCACTCAAGTGAGAGGCAGGAATTTGTTAATGAATCTGGAAATGCTCCCGTAAGAATTCTAAATGCTTGCACTTACCAGTAACATACTTGTGTAGACTGGTGACCAATACAAAATGCTATCAAATCAAATAGAAATATATATAACATAAGGTATAAAATGCCTATATTATATGCACTTTGGCAAACAAAGCCCTTAATTTTCTAATTTTTTCTATAACGCAGGTCAAGTCAAATTTATGTCATTTAATGTATACCTTCTATTCAGAAAACATTTTAATTGGCTCTGTATGGATGTTAACAGTCCCCTATGAATTCCCTGCACTGATCTGTATTAATCAAGAGGAATACCAAGCACAGGGGGAGGAGGCAGCAGCTCATAGTCACTGATGATGAAATGCTGAGAATTTTGTGAGTTTGGTTTAAGTTTTTCCTGTTTATATTCTCTGTAGGTTAAAATTTTACAGTCTGCCTAGATTAGAAGTCTATGGTGTAGGAAGATTTATTGAAAGGCAACACTTTAATAACCTGTAAACTTTTACTTCCTCTCCTAAGTCGAAGGAATTCTAGTCAGCCATTTACAGTTATTTCTTTAACAGGTTTTGAAATAAACTTAAAATTAATGTTTAAATTAATATTAATAGAAATGCCTGGAATGTCTTGACCAGCTTTCTTGGTGTTCATTTTCATAATAAATTATTTCCAAGAAAAATGTAGAATCTCTAATAAGACTAGCAAGGGAGGGGGAGGAAGAACTTAGATTCTTTTGTGTATAATGAAAACACACACACAAAAATATTTAAGAAACTCTTTTGGACCCTATAATTTACCCATTATGAAGCAGAACCAAAAAACAAAAGCAAAACTTAAATTCTACTAAGTGCTTTCAACCTTTTTAATTAGCTCATCAGCAATTTACAACTAGCCTGGTCATTCTAGACAAATACCAGCTGAAACATTCACTGTTGAACAAAATAGTGAATAAGCCACTAACTTCTGACCTTTCACATATAGAAACATTAAAACTGCACCATGAGGAAAGACAGAAATTAAGGAAGAACATGAATTACCTTGCTCTGGTAGAAGCCTATGATGAAGAGATGGTTACATTTTAGGATTAGAGTAATTTCTCCTGAACCCATGACAAGCCGCTGAAAAGCTGGAGAGTCACCTTATTTCTGAAAGTCTGATGATCTCATCTGCTCTGAGTTATTTCAAAAGGATGATTTCACATGATTTTTTTCTCTTCTCAATAACTCTTTTATGTAGAAAAGCCCTAAAACATCTTCCTGCTGCAAGATTATTATCTGCTGCTGACAACACGCTCTTCTACCAAGAAGAGCGTGTTACTACTTTCCCCCTCTTGGTAGCACAATAAGAGAGAACACCAAAGGCAGAAGGAAAGGCTGTTGTAGTTAGAGCACAGAATCACCATGTGCAGAAGAACACAATGTAATCTCTCAGACACTTAACAACCCCAACCCCACTCTGACAGTAAATATTCCCCATGAAGAAAGTAACCACTGTTGATTATTACCTGTGTCAATGACAGAGAGGACACACTTTAAAAGAATGTAGGGTTTCTATAGAGAAACTGAGAAAACCTACCCAATTTAGAGTTTTTCAACCTTAAAATGTAGGCCTCCAGAATCCACAGAAGAGTCCAAACCCTGTCCAAACCCATACATAACTTTATTCCAGAAATTCTTTAACATCTACATGGAAAACTAACACTGTACAGCAAACCACAACTCAGAGCCTCGTTTCCTGCAAGTTTGCAGAAAATGTCCCCTAAGCTTCCCCTTCTTCTCTGTTCCACACATCCGAATGCATACATCTCAACTCTGTTTCATGCTCAGTATCATTCTGGTGGGCAATGGCAGGAGTAGGGCTTTGGTGCTCCTTCTGCTCAGACTGCCAGCCATGTGCCAATCAGTCAGGTGATGGCTGCCACCAAACAGCACATGCACAGACAAGGCCTGCTTTACTTCCCATCAGCACAGGCAAACATTTGAGTCTCAAGAGCAAATAACTTAATCATACAAGTTTTCCGCAAAGACAGTCCAAACAGTAACCAACTTCTCTCTACATACCTTTGCCTGACAGGGCCATGGGAATGCTGCACACACCTTGTACCTGTACTCCTGCCCACCTAACAATGACAAAACCAGCATTGGTGATAGGACTACAGGACGCATTACCTAGGATCTCACCTCCTCAGCTCAAGTTGCTTTAATAATTATCTTGTAGTCTATCACAAGAAAATTCATTTACCCTTTTTCTGCCAACATGCAGAAGTGACCTTTACCAACAAAATTTAGTTAAGTACTTTCAGCTCTGCACTTTTTTCACTAGTGTCATCCTAGAGATCCAGTATTTCTAGGTAAATTGACACCTTCTGAGATTTCAGTTACTGTCAATGACCCAAGACAGAGGGTATGTCAGAGTCTGCTTATAATTGGAGAACGAAACAGAGGGTAGAATGCAGACAGTGACAAAGGAAAGTCAGAAAGTTCCACAAAGGGTTCTCCAAGAACAAAACAATATTCTTCATACAACAAGATCATATGAGTGAATTTTACTCTGAAGACACATGCTTCATTAAATTGTGACAATAGCATTAGATTCTTCTACCTCCTCCATCACCCCAGTCTCCCAAACAAGAATAAACAAGTAAGAACTTACCATCAGGAGACAGGTTGATATCACTTTCTGCAAGCCAGATTTCTTCACAGTGCTATAGATGTATATGATGAGTTTGCTGTTAAGAAGTCAGCTGTCAGTCTTGCACTGAAGCAAAGTCTTGCAAGACAGTTTGCTCTGGGACAGATGAAAACTTACAGCATTGAAAAGAGCTCAACAGGATTCCTCTATCAGTCTCTTGCTTAAAGTAACA